GCATTTAGGCCGACATTACATCCATTTCCCCTATTCATCCAACACGTTGCAAAAAGAAGATTTTTTCAACACGAGTCGTAGCCCGAGCAAAGTCTGAGATCAAATTGAAATCTGAATTTGATGTTGTGATTTCGCTGATAATGATTGCTCAGGTTGCTGTCGTTTTGGTCGTTTTATCGGTTAAAATATCAAAATCTGGGTTCAATCACAGTCGAGATCGGTGGAATTTTTCTGAGGAATAAAAATCTCTGGTCACGTCTTCCTTCGAAAGGGAAGTAAAGCCGTTGGTCCCGGCCCATGTGTCTGTTTGAATGGGTGCGATATCCTATGCAGGTGTAAAAGCTGCCTTCCTGTCAGTGTTGGGAAAATATCAAAAAATCAAAGCTCACCAACGCCCAAGATCACGCTTGATTTTCTTAGACAAAAATCAACAAGCAAACAACTGCGGTTGATTTTGCAAGCTCTGATATCGCAGCTCGGAATATCAAGATAACAAAACTCACCAAATGCAAATCTCACCAAACTGTGGTGAGATTGAGTTTAATGATTTTTGCTTTACATCCGAATGCAACCGAAACTTCCATAACGACTTACAGCAGTCCCTTCGCGTCTGCCATCGGTGAAGATTAAAAAGAGATTGCAAACTATGCTTTCTCTTTCTAAGAAAATGATGTGCAATTGAATCATTTTTGTGTCGAGTCAACTCTCAGCTTGATTTTTGCACATTGTGAATAGTCTCGCAATATCAAAGGAGCTTGTAAAATCAATATCAAGCATGATATTTTGTTCCAATATCATGCGTGATATTGCGAGCTCATGAGAGCGGAAAAATATCAATTGATTTCTGATTTTGCCAACACTGCTTCCTGCACATTCGATTGCCGTCAATGGATGGCAATCGATGTCCGTCGGTGATTGGCACTAGATTGCGGAACAGAGACCGACGTTAAATGAAGGAAAGAAGAAGAAGAAGAAGAAGAAGAAGAAGAAGAAGAAGAAGAAGAAGAAGAAGAAGAAGAAGAAGAGCAAATGTACCGAGGGGGGCGACACATCTAAATCTCAATTTGAGATACTCAAAACATCTCACACTAGCGAATCAATCTTCGAAAAATCTTCCTGCATTTCTCGCAACTACTTGCATCGAGCATCATCTTTTTGCAGGAAATCTTCAGAATCGTCATCAATCCTCTTTCTATCTACTCAGCGTGTGAGCAGCTAGCCACAGCAGAACACAAGCTTTCCTGCAGCGTAGATAGAGTCGTCCCCCTCGAAATGTACAGAGAAATGAAAAAGAAATTTTTCTATTGCATAAACTGAAATCAAATTATGATTTCAGTTTGATGTTGATATCAAAACTTGTTTTCAATTTGCTTTCATTTTGATGCTGGACTTTGCTCGGGAGTCGTAGCATACCAAATTATTTGTGCTCAAAAGAGTGCCGAAAAGTAGAACCTTTCGGCACTGGATGCGGAAAAGTAGTACTTTTAGACACTGTTATTCGTTGTTTCACTTCCGATCTTCTGAAAAAATGGTGGGTGGAATAAATTTACAGCTGTATTTCCGAAATTCGGCAATGGATGAGGTCAATACCGAAATCTCAGTAAGCGTGATTGCTGATTTCGGTATTAGGTATCTCTAATTAGGCTCTGAACCATTTGATGAATTATTTTAACTTTTGGTTAAAATTTGATAGATGGAAAGTTATCGATTAACCCTGCTACACTGAACCAAAACATCATCCTGGCATCGAATGATTATTGCCTCACTCAAGCCCTATAACCTATAACCATAGAGGTAACTCTAAGACTAGAAGGTCCCGAAATAACGTGCTCAACTTTTTGGCTCAGCTCTGGTACTCTCTTCGGTCCCAAGCTAATCGATTTACCCCTCGAAACATAGGAAAAACCAATAACCCCTCATTTTATCTGTCAAACTTTCATAGCGAATCAAAACAAACATTGCGTAGTACTAGAATTTCGACTAGAATAGGGTACGGTAATCGTTTGCTTGGGACCAATAGGCTACTAAAGTGGTGAGCCAATTTAAAATCGTTAGTTTCGTATTGATTGTTGCTATAACTATTATCAGATGATTTTGAGATGATCGTTATTTGATTTATCATCTGTTGGAAAATGAATAAATCACATGACAACCATCCATATTTATAATGAATGATTTTAGATCGTTTTGCGAAAACCAAAGTAGTCATAAATCATAGGATAATCGTATTATTTTCAACAAATAATAAAATGAAATTATATGACGGAATTTCGGAGGAAAGTCAGGTTCAAAACATCAAGTCAAGTTTTACAATTTATTTATGATTATATTATTAACAAGTTGGGATTTAAATTGAGCTGGGTCCTTGAGAGACGAATGATGATGGCGAGGTAGAGCCAAACGAGGGTTAAAGATGTTGTTATACAGCAGATTGATGTTGGCTTCGTAGAACTCCCAGTAGTTGTCAACGATGTCAATACAGGAGGGATTGAATGTGCACGTAATAGTATTGGTATTTTCGGTGCTTATTGCTTACTTGCCAAGGAATAAGTGCACCAAAGACACCAAGACGAAATATTTTATAATTATTAATCAAATGATTTTAGTTATGGGACTATCTCAAAAGATATTTCATTCGTTTCCATACTGAATGTTTTTCGTTATATTTAACATATGTATTGCTATCGAAATACATACAAAAAACATGTCAATATTCATTCAACAATCAAAAGAGCATCACACGTTTCCTAATAGAAAATCATCCGGTTGATTTTGTCAAACGGTTTTCAGAAAAATTGAAATTGGATGCAACTGAATGATGTTTCATTCTATAAATCGAGGGGGGCGACACATCGAAATCTCAAGTCTAGATGCTCAACAAATTTCACACTAGCGAATCAATCTTCGAAAAATCTTATTTCATTTCTCGCATCTACTTGTATCGCGCATCATCTTGTTGCAGGAAATCCCCAGAATCGTCATCAATCTTCTTTCTATCTACTTAGCGTGCGCGCAGTTAGCCACAGCAAAACACAATCTTTTCTGCATCGTAGATAGAGTCGTCCCCCTCGCTATAAATGGAGGGTGATTTGGTTCAGTGATATCTGAGCGTGGTTACTTCTGACAGACAAGAAGTTAAATTTTGACAACTGTGGCTGAGTTCTTCTCGAAAACCGGTCGATCGACAGCACAGGGATTTTCGAACATAAAAAATAACTTCCGAAATGTTACATTTAACCATGAGTTTATAAATTTAACTCGGCAAATGGTACACAGCCTTACTGATATGCGCAGTGATTTAATTTGCCGAATTTCGGTACAATCAGATGAATTGCTGATATTTCGGCAAATGTTTTTGGTTAATCTCGGAACAAATAGTGTGATGGCCGAGATAATTATGAAATTGCCGTGTCGAATCAGTATTTTTTTTTTCTACCGAACTCGAGAAATTTTTTAACTGTGCAGGTGACGGTATTAAAAAAAACCCATGCAGGTAGTCCTCGTGTTATATAGTGAGACAGAGAGTTATAAAACACTCGGCAGCAGTGATGCCATATTTTATTGATTTTCAATCTGTATTTTGATCGCAAAAAATCTTTTTAATCTGTATTTGGCTGACAAAAATCTGTAAATTAATCTGTAGTTTGGCAACAAGCCCGAACATTTAGTGTTGTCAATATCGAACGGTTTTATTTTTAAATTTAATTTATGATTTCGATGATTATAAACCAACGTGAGTCATCTTTATTACATAGACGTTATTAATAATTATTCTTTTATTGAAAATTGTAATCACATGGAACATTAACGTTAACTGTTATTTATTTATTATGGTCTCAGTGTGGATTTACCTAAATCTTCATTGAGTTCATTCATAGTTCAGAAGTAGTTTGTTCAATGTTTAAAATCTTAAAAAAATACTAAATTTTGCTTTCTAAAGAATTTGTTTTTTTTTAATCGTGAAATCCTATAATCTTGATTTTTTAAGTGATTTGTATCCTTCCTACAATTGAGAAAATACAAAACATTAAGTTCCAGTAGTACCGAGAGACAAATCTGCTTCCAACGGAAAATTTCCTGCGTTTACTAAAATTAATTGTTTACTGAATTGACGCACAGTTAATTAAATATTGTATCTGTCACCATGTGACATGGTAAATTAAACAAAAAGAAAGGGAAACTAATATCCCTTCTAACGAGAAATCAGAACATCTGAACATCAGAAGTTCATTCAAAAGATCCAAGCAAATTCGAAGATAATACAATCATGTTATATTTAGTCAAAAATACGTTTTGGGTTTGATGCTCACAGATTGAATTCAAGCTGCTCAAAAGTATGAAACGATTATTTATCAGAATTAATAAATATGAAAAATAATATAAAAAAAATATTCTCCTTATTAAAAAAAAAACCTGTATATTTTTCAAAAATCTGTAATCTGTATATACATATCAGTATCAAACTATTGAAAAAAAAATCTGTATAGTTACAGATAAATCTGTATATGTGGCATCTCTGCTCGGCAGGGAATTTCCAAATTTTCTCGGTCAATACCGACATCAATGAAATGCAGGCTGTTTTTTTTGGTAGAACGAAAGTAGGAACATAAACAAGATAAACAAAAAGAAAGAAGATTTATGCATAACTTATTTTTCCATGCTCGTGTTGGGTGTCCCTTCCATAAAACAATTATGTTAAGGGGTAGAAACAAGAAAACCTACCCATGAAAGCGCCGTCACATTGAACACACATGTTTGGTATCATTTGCAAATGTACCCAGCCATAAGATTGGTACAAACAGTCGAAGCATAAATCTGGCTGAAAGTACTAACAGATTTGTGTATGTTCATTATGTAAAGCTGAGTGCAGTAAGAACCATCGTGAAAGACGCTTGTGTTGAGTGATTTTGTTTGATTTTTTTTTAATATTTCAAAGGTATTATAGGACAGTGTTTTTGGGCGTTCGATAAAATATTTTTTTTTCTTCTTCAAATCTCCAGGACGCTACTACCGAAGGATGGCCGATAATCCACAGGAGGGATCCAGTGGCGGTCGGATACGAGCCCGTGGCTACGTAGGAGCATCTTCATCGCGCGGTGGATACAATGGAGGTTCATCGCGGGGTGCGTGGCCAGGATCGGATAATGGACAAGGTGGCCAGAGAAGTCAGGTGGGCAATTTCGAGCATCGGCAGAAGCAGTTCCAGCATCTGGAACCAGGTCGTTCTCCGAAACCCTATGAACGACCGGAAGTTTCATCACCAAACGTCCGACCAAAAGAAGAAATGTCGGCTTTGGAGTCTGAGGTCAAGACGGAAGAAAAATATCAGCATGGACGAGATGGCGGCAGAGGCGGTGCCAGAGGCGGTGGTAGAGGAGCCCGCGGTGGATTGCGTGGAAATCGCTATTTGCCGGAAATTGTACACACTCGATCTAATACAGCGGTAAGCAAGCAAGGAAACAGTGGAAAACAGGTTATGCTACAGACTAATTATTTCCGGGTTGTCCGGAAAGACGACGAGCGTCTGTTCCATTACCGTGTTGATTTTAAACCCACCGTTGAAACGAGTAAGCAAATGAGTTCCCTCATCTACAATATAAAAGAAAAACTTGGAGGTTACTTGTTTGATGGGACACAAATATTTACGAGAACCAAGTTGGATGCCGATCCAACGGAGTTCACAACTAAAGACAGGACAAACGAGGAATCCTATATCATTACTTTACGAAGAGTTGGAGTAATCAGCGGAACAAACGAAACGGCTTTCATGATATACAACCTTATCAATCGCAAAGCCATGGGTGGCCTGAAGTTGCAGATTATTGGACGAAATTTCTTTGATCCTGAAGCCAAAATCGCCATCAGGCAGTACGGAATTGATCTGTACCCAGGGTACGTCACCAGTATTCGCCAACATGAGCAGGACGTACTGATGTGTGCCGAACTGACGCATAGAGTTATGCGAACTGATACATGCTACTCACTGTTTGAACACTGTATGAATCAACGAGGAAATTACAAAGACAACTACAAACGTATGGTTCTGGGATCGATCGTGATGACTACCTATGGAAAAAACAATACTTACACTGTATCCGATGTGGAGTTTGATGTAAACCCGGAGAGCTCTTTCCAGACTAAGAATGGGCCCATCACATTCATGCAGTACTTCAAGGAACGGTACAACGTTTTAATCCGTGATCCACGGCAGCCTATGCTGGTATCTCGTTCGAAAGCCAGAGACATACGAGCTGGAATGCCAGAATTGATCTACTTGGTACCGGAGTTGTCCAGGATCACCGGTATAACCGACGAAATGCGGAGAGATTTCCAGTGAGTATCTAACTTACACAATCTTTGTAAGCAACATGAATTGACACGATTCGTCACATTTTCAGCCTAATGCGTGCAATCGCCGACCATACCCGGTTAACGCCTGACAAACGTATTCAGCGATTGGAGGTCTTCAACCGACGTCTGCAGCAGTCAAAGGAAAGTTCCGAAGTATTCAAATTTTGGAAAACTGAGCTTGATCGTCGCTTGGTCGAGGTCCCTGCTCGCGTGTTGGCACCGGAAACGGTATTTTTCCACCCAGAGCAGGATAACTAGTAAGTAGTTTGGATTGAGCAGTTCCTCGAAATGTTGATACTAAAACAAACATTTTTACAGTAAAGTGTTGGCGGGTGAAATGGCCGAATGGCAGATGGCTTTCCGCAACAATCCAATGTACCTAACGGTAGCACTGACCAACTGGTGCGTTGTCATACCCGGTGGATCGGAACGGCTGATTGGTGATTTCATGTCCTGCCTAAAGCAGGCTGCCTCGCAGATGTACTTCCAGATCGAGGAACCAAGGCGCGTATTGATTCCCAACGACTCACCTGTTGTTTACGTGGAGCAGCTCAGTCAGATAGTTCAAAGAGATCCCCAACTGATCATGTGTTTAGTAACGAATGACAAGGCCGATCGCTATTCGGCCATCAAGAAGAAATGTTGCGTGGATCGAGCTGTCCCAACACAGGTGTTAAAAACGCGAACCATTACGCCCAAGGGAGGCAACGTACGTACGTTGATGTCCGTGGCTACCAAGGTTGCTATCCAAATGAATTGTAAATTGGGTGGGATTCCGTGGGTCATCAAAAGTCCATTGGCATCGGTGATGGTAATCGGATATGACGTCTGTAAGGATTCCAAAGATAGATCGAAAGGATACGGAGCTTTGGTTGCCTCTATGTACGGAGCAGGCATTAAGCATCCAAAGTATTATTCCACCGTAAACCAGCATGCTTATGGTGAAGAGCTGTCGAACTTCTTAGCAATTAATGTTATTAAAGCAATTCGTGCGTACCAGTCCAGCTTTGGGAACATCATGCCACAGCGTATTGTTGTTTATCGCGATGGGGTAGGGGATGGTGACTTGGGCTTTGTGCACGAGCATGAAGTTGGTGCCGTCAAGGAGAAATTGGAGCTCGCTTACAAGGGTCAGGAGATTACTCCAAAGCTAACCTTCTTCGTAGTAAACAAACGAATCAATACGCGTCTGTTCCACGACAAAAGAAATCCAACCCCGGGAACCATTGTCGACGATATCATTACGTTACCGGAAAGGTTCGCTGAACTTTGTTCCATGTAATGGAAAAACTCTATTAACACGTTTTTGTAATTTCCAGAAACGACTTCTTCCTGGTATCGCAAAGTGTACGTCAGGGTACGGTATCACCTACTTCCTACAACATATTGTGCGATGAATCCGGACTTAGCGCAGATCGGTTGCAGCTGTACACTTTCAAGCAGACGCACATGTACTACAATTGGTCCGGAACGGTTGGAGTACCGGCCGTTTGTCAATATGCCCACAAGTTGGCTGCCCTCGCCGGGCAGTATCTTCATCAAGCTCCCAATACATGGTTGGAAAAGAAATTATACTTCTTGTAAAACTGAATGAATCTCGACGTTAACGGAAATAAAACAAACACATTTTCAGCGTAGCGAGTATATAGTTCTTTCATTCAGCAGAAAATATATTATAGTACTAGTACTTTGCAGTAAATTTTTGCTTTGTTCTAGAAGTAGTCCTTTATATTTCTTTACACTTCTATTGCTCTACGTATCCAGCATAGTTTACTGAACTTTTTCAATTTAAAATGTTACTGATTTGAAATGTGTGTAAATGGAAGCAAATGTCATTCGCTATACATCTTAAAAACTCTTTTCCCTCACGCAATCTTTTTTTTTTCGGAAACTAATATGTTTTTGATAGGTTTAGACTCTTATGGTCGATTGGATTTTTAAATCACAAGGCAACTAATATTTTTAAACAACAATCAAAATAATAGTCGTGTCATTCAATTTATTATTTCCGAAAAAATCCGCACACTTACCTAATTTAGGAAAGCAATAACATATGCTGAGTTGACGAGGCTGTTTGGGCAGAAGTTCCTCAGATGTGACTTATGCGGTGGCCAGACTGAGCAGTTCTAACATGTTATGACATATTATAAGGCTATCCTCGAGCCAATCTTGATGACATTTATCTTGTCAATAATTATTATAACATGTTACAACGTTACAACTCTAGTCTGAACGTTGAATTACAGAGAAAGCACATATTCATTACTGTCGTTATATACGCATAATTGTTCCACGGTCAACAAGGAGTCCTTATTAAGGACTGCATTGAACATGGAACAATCAACAATCAATACGAAACTAACGATTTTAAATTGGCTCACTACTTGACTTGCCGCTAACGTACCCCATTCTAGTATCAATTCCAGTACTACACTATGTTTGTTTTGATTCGCTATGAAAGTAAAATGAGGGATTAGTGGATTTTCCTATGTTTCGAGGGGTGAATCGATTAGCTTGAGACCGAAGATAGTACCAGAGCTGAGCCAAAAAGTTGAGCTCGTTTCTTCGGGACCTTCTGGTCTTAGAGTTACCTCTATGGTATTGATGCTGATACTTGGAGCCAGGGCGTCACAATATCAGCTTCAATCGACCAAATCGATGCGACGAAGAGACTGCTGGCTTTCTTTTTCTGTTAAAGTCGAACAGCTTCGCAGCATTCTAGAACCTCAGTCGGCGTGCACAAACAAATGTTCAATCGCTTGTCTCTCTTTCTCCCGTCGCTCCATTGGTCTTCCTTTCAAGCTTCGCCGAAACGGATGAGCGAAAGAGCGCTCGACTTTGATAGTTTTCTCTTTCATGAAACATATCAACAGAGGTTTCATGACGTATATGACGGAAAATGAAATAACACATTTAAAGCATTTCTCACGTCAAAACACTTGAAGATTACACGTCATATTTTTAATTTATCTTCCATCCATATATTTATCTAAAAAAAATGATCGAAAACGGGACATAACGCATTTTTAACAAATTGAAAGAGCGGTGATAGAGTGTTCGTGAAAGTGGATTGAAAGCCATACTAGAAAATCGACGTTAGTTACATTGAAAGCGATGAGCAAAGCAACGACGAGAAGTTCCACAGCCAGCCTTTCCTTCTAAGCGTCCTGCTTTTTTTCTTTTCGTTTCTTGCTGATAGTTTAGCTAGGCGTTATAGAAATGAAGTGTCGAACACGTATGTATGAGAGAAACAAAACACGAGTTCATTTTAGAGCTTCGAAATTGTAGAGCCCTGCTTGGAGCTGTCCTTCCCCTAGGCGCTAACACAGTTTGAGTACAGGTTGTTTAGTTGTTTAAAAAGCACTTTTGATGTTAATGTTATTCAGCAAGAGTGGTTGGTTGTGTAGAAGCCATCAAACAAGTAATATTTTCGCTTTATTAGCTTTGTTTTGAAGCTAAAAGTTGAAAGTTGATTGATATTTGTACAGAAGTGACATTAGCGTTTATTAGCTGATGTTATTCAGAGCGACTGACAAATTGAATAACGGTTGTGAAAAAGTTGAGTAAACGCTCTCGAAAAATATTTTGCTAGCTTCTGCTTGTAGCTGTATATGCAGCTTTGTTTCAGCTACTTTACAGCACAACGCTAGAAAAGTTGGGTTATAAAGCTGAAAATGTTAGTTGGGAATACCATAGAGGTAACTCTGAGACCAGAAGGTCCCGAAGAAACGTGCTCAACTTTTTGGCTCAGCTCTGGTACTCTCTTCGGTCCCAAGCTAATCGATGCACCCCCCGAAACATAGGAAAATCCACGAACCCCTCATTTTATCTGTCAAGGTTAGGTTATCTTGATTAGCGAGACTTTCAGTCAGAAGCTGGTTCATCTCTTGACGAATATTGGGGAATTCAGAAGGGGTCCCCCCTAGTGACAGAGTTTGAAATAGCGGTGGGGAGCCAGAAGGGACCCCCTAGTTATAGAGTTAATGAAGTGGGGTATCCAGAAGGGACCCACTAATTAAGAGGAGTGAACAGTCCAGAAGAGACCACCCCGGTAACAGAGTATTTGTCTATCAGAGTTGGCTGTCGAGGTGCTGTCGTAGGTAGTTAGTGGTTATGGTGGGGAATTCAGAGTCCGTTATAGAGGTTGGTCCTGGTTCGATGCAGTGGGTCCGTTATGGCTGGTTCTTGTCAGTGAGTTAGGTCAGATGTTCTTATACATGTTGGCTTCCTTGATGAAACATATAACAGTTGCTTCGGTTGAAGGGTCATTGGCCAAGGCGTTTTAATGTTCATCGGGATTCCATAAAGATCCCTAATTCCCTGGAAACCTGGGCAATTCACTAAGAGGTGCTCTACCGTCATCGTTGTGTTGCAAATATCACAGTGTTTTCGGAACAAAATCGCACTTCCCATATTGTGGGTCGTCCGAGTATGTCCTGAGCGGAGACGAGAAAGAATCAGTTGGTCATGATGGTTTGGAGAATCTTGGCACTTGGTGGTTTCCCCTTTGATTTTACGGAGGAAGGGTTCCTTTGCTGGCTCACTCCTGGGCCCAAGCATTCCTAAGTTTGAACTTCATCCAAGTCTTGATATCAGGTCCTGGAACGGTTTTAGTAGCGAGCCTTCCAGATCGGCCTTTTATCTGTCAAACTTTCATAGCGAATCAAAACAAACATAATGTACATTCTCCCTTGAAGCCTTGTGCAGTAAAGTTGGAAAGTACAGCCAGGTGTATCAGTGCGCGTAACGCGTTGTTTTTAAGAGAATTTTTTATATCCGCCATTTTGTTTTTCTTCTAAAATTTATTTTCGAGCAAATTTTTATTGTAGCATTGTGAAATTTGTGTAAATTATTATTGTTATTTAAACTCCATTGGATTTTTACTACATTATAGGATAGGCTAAGGTAAGGTAAATTCGATTTTTCTCCACGAGGTCTTGTAAAAGACTGGTTGGAGAGAAAGCATGGATGAAGATGAAGATGGGGCTTATGGCCCTATAGATGAGGATGGCTCTGGTACAGGATATGAATCTGCGAGTGACGCATCATTGAGTATCCGCCGGAAAAAAGAATCATCAGACGAAGATAACAGAACTGGAAACAAGAAATTGAAAAAGGAACAAAGAAACACGAACGACAAGAAGACAGACAAATACGCTGAGAGAAAAAAAAACTAAAGATCTTCCGGACGATGGCTGGATTCAAAATAAGATTCACAAGACTTTTTTCATGGAACCGACTGACGAAAAACAAAAATTGCACATCATGGAAATAGCCAAATTGTTGCATAACATCAAAATCACAAATTACAATGAACTCAAACCAGCAGGAAAATTCCGATACAAAATCACATTCAATAACCAAAGACACGCAGAAAACTTGATTAACTCAAAAATACTGACAGAAACATACAAGTACAAGATCTATGTCCCAAAAATGTTTCAAGAAACCATAGGTGTAGTCAGAAATATACCTCCCACAATAACAGAAGAGGAATTACAAGACAACATTGAAAGCAAGAGAATTAAAATAACAAAAGTTGAAAGAATTCATAAAATGGTAAACAAACAACTGATTCCCACATACTCCATTAAAATATACGCAGAAGGTGAGAAACTCCCACAAGAAATCAAAATATATGGTGTAATGTCAAAGGTAGAGGTTTATTTGTTTCCACTCAAATTTTGTTGGAAATGTTTACGCTACGGACATAAACAAAACGCATGTAAATCACAACAGGTCAGGTGTTATAATTGCTCACAAAATGATCATGAAGGAAAGGACTGTAAATCATTGAATGTTTCATGTTTCCACTGCAAAGAACCACATAAAGCATTTGACGCAAACTGTAAAGAAAGATCTCGGCAAGATAATATTCGAAAATCAATGGCATATAACAAGCTCTCATTCGCTGAAGCTGAAAAACTTAACCCTCGTCCATCACAGACAGCTCAAAGACTTCAATCACTGACTGATTTTCCTCCGATAATAACAGACAACGACATTAACAACAAACAACAGCCAAAACCCCAAAATAAAAAACAAATCATAACAAATACCCAGAATAACATCAACACAAACAAAGAAGTTAACAATGATAACTACATAACAAAACCAGAATTGGAGCAAATCGTAAATAAACTCAAAGTCGAAATAGTAAAACAACTCAACTTGAATAAACTCATCAACAAAATTAAAGAAATTCAAGAAAAGATTAACGAAAACGTTTCAAACGAAATCCAAACCAATTCAAAGGATCAAAATCTGTTTCTTATTAATATCAGTGAACAGTTAAATGATCTTATCAACCCAGAAATTCTACAACCACCTAAACCTCCATATAATAAATAAAAATGGATCCAGTTCGCAATCTAAATATACTTCAAAATAACATCAATAGTATAAGACCGGTAGCTAACCGTTCACTTCTTACTCATCTATTACAATCACATAAAATAGACATTGCTATCTTATCTGAAATTTGGCTAAAACCAAATGAAGATTTTAAATTTCCGGGATACAAATTCCATAAAAAAACAAGAGACAAAGGCTATGGTGGAGTAGCCTTCTTAATAAAAAATGAAATAAATGTCCAAGAAATAAAACTTCCAGATGTAAAACCTATAGAAGCAATAGCAATAAAAACAACTAACACAGTATATCCATTTTTATTCATTTCCATTTATATACCTCCAAGTCCTATTAATAACACTCAAATTAAAAAACCTTTGACTGACTTATTTAATTTTATTGACCTAAACAAATACAAAACAATAATAGCTGGGGATTTTAACGCTCATCATTCTGTATGGAATGAAGCCAACAAAACGTGTACAAGAGGCGAACTAATTTTAGAACTAATTGAAAACAGGAACTTAATTATCATGAACGACGGGTCACCAACTATGTTGGAACATCCAACCATTACTCCTTCTGCAATAGATTTAACTATAGTTTCATCATGTTTAGCACCAACAATTGAATGGTCTGTACTAAATGAAGAAATCTGCGGAGATCATAAAATAATAATTTTTAAAATGATTAATCAAGCTCAACATTTTTTCTATAATTGTACTCTTATAAATAAGAAAAAAACAATTAAAAACATTAATGAAATAGATCCAAACACAATAACATCACCAGAACTACTAAGTAACTTATTTATTTCTAAAATTGATGAAACAAAATACAAACCGAATAAAAAATTTTACCCAAAAAAATGGCGGAATCCATTAATTCAAGAATTTTTTGATGAAAAAAATAAAGCTTTTAAAAATTACTTAAATAACTTAACCATGGAAAACTTGATATATTTCAGAAAAGCAAGAGCTAAATTAAAAACTGAAATTAAAAAATCTAAGAGAAAAAACTTTCAAGATCTCACAGATACTCTCACACCGGATTTAAACTTAAAACAATTATGGCAAACAGTAAAAGTAATAAGTGGAGGGTTTCCTCAAAAAAATAATCTACAACTATTGAATAACAGAGAACTAGCTAACAAATTCATGAATCTAAACTTTCCCACAATAACTAATGATATAGAATACAATGTAAATAATAATTCAAATCAACTTAAACTATCTATAAATGACATTATCAACACTCTAAAAACTAAAAAAGACAGTTCTGCTCCAGGTCCTGATAACATTTCATATCATATTTTAAAAAATACAAACATTCATCTTCTTAATGTAATAGTCAACATGTGTAATGAAGTTTTAAATAGCCGTAACATCCCAGTCAGCTGGTTAACCGTAAAAGTAGTTGCAATTCTTAAACCAGGGAAAAATGAAATTTGCCACACATCATATAGACCTATTTGCTTAATACCTACATTCTTAAAAATAATCAATATTAAAATTAAATCAGAAATAGTCCATTTCATACAAACCAATAATACTATACCGAAATACTCCTTTGGTTTTAAAAGCAAAACATCCTCAATAAATTGTGTTAATTACTTAGTTTCTAAAATAGAGGGCGCTAAAAACAGGAAACAATGTATCATGGTCACCTTTTTGGACCTATCGAAGGCGTTTGATAACGTCGATATTTCTATATTACTGGGAATTTTAAAAGAAAAGAAATTTCCGGAACATTTAATAGATTGGATATATTTCTATTTAAAAAAAAGAATAGCAGTATTAACATTAAATAATGGCACTACAATAGAAAGGATTACAAATAAGGGACTACCTCAAGGCTGCCCGATATCACCTATTTTGTTTAATATCTACACAACTAAATTACATGAAACAATAGAAGAAGGAACACTCATTCAATTCGCAGATGATTTTGCTGTTGTCATAGAAGGTGTAGATGCAATAGATACTAATAACAACATGAACAGAACGCTCAACACAATTTGTTCAAATTTAGAAGATTTAGGAATGCAAATCAACCCAGATAAGTCGGCAACATTAGTTTTCATGAACAACAATATTCCAGATGATATAGTTATCAAAATCAACAACAAAACAGTTGAAATAAAACATGCACATAAATATTTAGGAATTTGGATTGATTACAAATTAAATTTTAAGGTACACATTACAGAAACGGTTAATAAAGCTAAGAAAAAAATTAATATTTTAAAAATGTTAAGCAGGAAAAAAGGCGGGTGTCACCCGAAAGTCCTTCAAAAAGTAAATAACTCCATAGTTAGATCTCAATTAGATTATGGATTATCGGTATATTCAAAAGCAAGTAAGACAGATTTATCTAGGATCGAAAGAGTACAAAATGCTTCAATTCGAACTTCTTGTCGTTATTTACAATCTACACCAAATCACATACTTTATGCAGAATTGGGAGAACTTCCATTAAAATACAGATCTCAATATCTTACTTATAAAGAATTGCTAAAAACACTCTACTATGAAACAAGTCCAATAAATGATCACTTAAAAGATTTAATTAATTCAGATGAACTACCTAAACACCATAGCTTTCTAGAAAAGATTGCATCAGTTAACAACTTCCATACACTACAATGTAAAACCCAACAGATACAAATACATCAATCAATTAATACTAATGTTATTGAAATAGTACCTATAATAGCATCTTTACATAAGAAAAATACACCATTAGCGTTACAGAAGTTAACCATTCAAAAATTAATCCAAGAAGATTACAATTCATATTTTAAAATTTTTACTGATGGCTCAAAAACAAATGTCGGTGTGGGCTATGGAATTTATGATCATGAAAATAAAATATCCTTCAGTAATAAACTAAATTCTAATTTTACAATAATGAATGCAGAACTAGTAGGTATTATTGAAGGACTAGAATATGCTATCACTATTGAACAATTTAAAGTAGTTATTCTAACTGACTCACAAAGCGGCTGTATAGCCCTAATAAATAATAGTTTTGAAAATTACCTAGTACAGAAATTTTATACTCTCGTTCACTACAATAACTTTCAAAAGGTGGTTATCCAATGGATTCCGGGTCATACAAATATAACAGGAAATGACAGAGCTGATAAAGCAGCGAAACTAGGAATTACCAAAGCTAGAATTGAAGACTATCCTCTAAGTATAGGGGACTCACTAATCAGTTTTAAAAATGAATTACTTTCAGAATGGAACGAGGAATACAAAGAACTATCAAATGAAAAGGGAAAAGAACATTATCAAATAATGGATAACATAACAATGAAACCATGGTACCATAAAATGGAAATGACTACGACACAAACAATTACAATGGGAAGAATAAGAACATTTCACACAGCAACTAAAGACAGGCTATATAAGTGGAATTTAATAAGAACTGAAAATTGTGAAATCTGTGGAGTCCAGGAAAATTTGCTGCATATCCTTTATGAATGTCCAAATCGAAACTTGATCAGAAATAACTATCCTGTATTAGCAGACAAATCCAAATTCATCAGCATCCTAAAAAATAAAAATATCGATGAATACCTTCAAATAGCCGATTTTATAAAAGAGGTTGGAACCAATGTTTGAGCAAACCGATCGCGAATTTTTAATTGTTTAGACTTTAACATTTCCTTAAATTTAAATCTTTTATTTTGCACTCCTTTCCAAGACATACTGTTCATTTTTGCTTGAAAATTTCTGGCAGAAGTTAACCAAAACATAACATAAATACCGTATACGTCAATTGACAACCAACTATCACTTGATAGCCTGGCTAATATGGACCAACAGGTCTGTGCCATAAAAAGGGAGAAAAAAAAAAAAAAAAAACATAATGTAGTAGGGGAAATGTTTGCTTCGGCAATACCTTAACCTATTATCGTCAGGGTGTAAACAATGTCTTTGAGGGCTCAATTTTGGTATGTGGATACATTGTGTTTTTTTTGAGCATCCATTGGCCACATTTAAGTGCTCTAGGACTTTGTTTACCCCGATAATAGGTTAAGGTATTGCCGAAGCCAACATTTCCCCTACTAGAATTTTTTTCTAGAATGGGATAAGTTAATCGATTTGCTTGGGACCAATAGGCTATGAAATTAGTTATAAATACCAAAACCAGCGGACGCCTCTATTAGTGATCCATCCTAGGATCCATCTGTGAAGAACGATCTTGCGAAATCAACTTGGCCAAACTTTGCAGCGAAAATTTACGGAGGAATCATGGAGCGATGATGCTCTGGGATCTCACGAATCTCCGCGCCATGGATAAATCAAATTGCAGAATTGCCGAAGTCGGAGAAGCAAACACGATTGGGATTATGCTGCGAAGGGCTGAAATCCTGTGTTATGTACACGTAGTATAGGTTCCGCTTTTTGATAGATCAAAATTCTATCCGCCAGACTATAAATATGGCGACTATAATCGATAGGGGTCAACGTTAGTATGCCATGACCGTTTTAACAATGACTGATTTTATTATTTCATAAACTCACGTTCCGGAAACAAGCTCTTCCAAATTTATCGTTGCTGTTTACATTTTTAGTGTCAATAAATAAAACAAAATGTCCGCTCACAGTCTTACGGAGCAGCAGGAACGACAGTTCCGCCAAATGTTCGAGATGTTTGACAAGGACGGTAACGGTTCAATCACAACCTCGGAGCTAGGTATGGTCGTGCGGGCATTAGGCATGAATCCTTCAATGGCGGAGATCGAGCAGATGATTCACGAGGTCGATCTGGATGGAAGCGGGACGATTGAATTGAACGAATTTCTCATGTTGATGGCCCGTAAGTCTCGGGAAAGTTCATCGGATGAAGAGTTACTGGATGCCTTCAAGATATTCGATAAAGACGGAGACGGATTTCTGACCGTCGATGAGCTGTCGGCTGTAATGAAGAACTTTGGAGAGCGTCTGACGGATGACGAGTTGGCGGATCTGCTAGAAGAAGCGGATATAGACGGAGACGGGAAGATCAACTATGAGGAATTTGTGATCATGTTGACTAAGTGATTGGTGAGGGGAACGTCGGGTATTAATCATTTTTATTACTACTATGAAAATATAAAATACCTATGCCTACAAACATCTGATTTTTATGGTCGTTTAATGGTTACTGAAATAGATCTCCCGTTGGAAGCTGAGGTAACTTGGTCCACCAAGTTACCTGTTCGTTGCATTCTAAGCAGTGAAGATTTCCGATAATATGGTAATTGTTATACCCCATCGTTTTAACAAATAATTAACAAAATAAGTCAAACATTATATGTCTAGGTTTCCTTAGCTTACAACTAGATACGCTCGCTTGATCGTGGCGCATTTATTTACGTTTTACTGATATATTTTACAAGTACATATAAAATGAGAATAAACTGTAAATATGGCCAAACATTTCCACTGTATTCTACTATACTGCCAGTGCTTCGGTTACTCGCAATAATTTCTGGTTATCATACATTTACACATGTTCCGCCTTGCACTGTCTTACAAAACTAGCATATAGATACAATCCGCTCACGCGTACCCCGTGAGTAGATCCCATTGTTAGCATTCGGTTACACTCTGAATTAGATTCAAGGGAATGATATATCTGGACTTAGGCACTAACCATTCGTAATCTCCGGAAGCTCTCGTGTACACGTTCTACACTCAATTGCACCATTTTAAAATCAGTATTCACACTCGCTTGCGGCCTGCCTGGATGACGAACGGCTTCAGTTTCCGTTCAACTTGCCGCTCGGATGCTTTGACTGGTTCTTGATCGAGGTGATGCTTACTGAAACCTTATTGCTAATGTTGTTGTTGTTGTTGTTGTTGATACTGTTGTTGTTGTTGTTATTATTGTTGTGTTGAGCGAACGGTGGCGGTGATCGTGGGCTGTCATGGCCGTTGTTCAATTTACTGACCGAATTGAACACTGGAATTCGCGATGGACTCGCTTTGGTGGCCGGTGGGCTCGATCCGTTGCTGTTACCGTTCGTCATGGGCTGTGGGCTAGAGTTAACTGCGGTGGAGTTGTTCAAGTTGATTGATGGGATCGAGGTTCGTCGGATTAGTACCGGGATCTCGGTTTTGGAGTTGCTGCGTTCCAACACAGATCGTACATCGGTTTTGGAGTTGCTTCGTTCGAATGTGCGAACGTCGGTTTTGGAGTTGCTGCGCTCGAATGGACGGACATCGGTCTTGGAGTTGCTGCGCTCGAATGGACGGACATCGGTCTTGGAGTTGCTGCGTTCATATGGGCGTACGTCGGTTTTGGAATTGCTACGTTCAAACGGGCGGACATCGGTCTTAGAGTTGCTTCTTTCGTATGCACGGATGTCGGTCTTGGAGTTGCTTCGTTCGTATGCGCGCATATCTGGCTTGGAATTGCTGCGTTCGAAGTTGGAGCGAATCTGATCGATACCCAGAGGACGCTTCTCGTGGCTCTTGCCGGAGTCGTATGTAGAAGTTGTGAATTTGATTTCCGTGTTGCGAGGAATATAGCTGTGTTCGCTGGACATTCTTCGTTCGACAGGAATTCTAGACGGAGGAGTCGTTGGTTTTTCCGGCTTCGGAGGCTTCTTGGTTACTTTCGGTGGTTCTTCAGGTTTTCCGTTTTGTTCCGATTCGGGGGTTTTGACTGTGATTTCCGTGACAAAGCTGTTCGGAGTTTTGGGCTTTTCCGGCATGGGTGGAGTAGTTTCAATGACGGTCTTGTTAGTATCTGACGAGAAGTTCAGCTGAGGTTCTGGAGCTATGGTATTTTCAATACTGTCGTCGAAGTCATCCAAGGTTTGCAGGCTGAAGTCGAGCTTTTCGTCATCGATTAGGATGATCGAAGATGGTTGAGATGATTCAGTGGAAATCGTTACAATGTTGTCCAGCGAAAACTTGGGGGCTACTGTGAAAGGCTTGTTGTTCAAGGATGTGGCCAAATCTACTTCCAATGAAGATATGTTGATGCTGCTGACTCCATTTGTGTTGCTGGAGAAGACGGGAGAAGCTTGACTGCTCTCAGTTTGATCATTTTCAACCGAAATGTCTTCAACGTTGTTGACCAAGGTGAGACTAATCGGTTCACCGACATCGAGATAGTTGTTTTCGATTGTGATCTTGTTGGAATCATTATCGCCAGAGATGAACACGGACGGGGTATTTTCCAGCTCTTCTTTCTGACCCAATAGCTTCTTCAGGACGTCAGATTTTGGTCGTTCAAGACTTCCAAATGGATAGCGTGATACTTTCACGTCATCAGGAATGTTTGTGTCATAATTAGCGATCTTGACGTGGTCAGTTTTGTTGCCACTTTCTTCCGATTCCGTTGGATAAACGCCATTGTAGTCCATATTGATTGTAGTTAATGAAACATGTTCCCTGTCATTCTCTTTTTCCACCTTTCTTTCTTCCGCAACGATCACTGCTGGAGCGATTTTATCAACTACTGTTACGATCTCAACAATGTTCTCATGTTTTTCTTCCATTGGTTCGTCTTCCATGCTGATGACGGTTCCATTCATTGGACTCACTTCATTAACCATCTGAATCACCGTTGTGTTGATTTCCATCAACTGTTCCTTAGCCATCTCCTTTACGTTATCCAATTTATTTTCAATGACAGTGACCTGTTGTTCCATAATCTCCTCGGTGGAAGTCTTCAGCTCACTTTCCGACGAACTGTTCGTCAGTTCACCGCAGTTGATGGCGTCCTCCAGGTTACCCCAAGCGGAAGCTCCCTTAAGACGGTTTCGCTGCAGCGAATTTAGCCCATCGATTCCAATGGTCAGCTTCGGTTCTTTCGATTCCATATCAACCTGGCCTTCGATTGACGCCTTACGTTTCTTGGTTCCAGGTGCTGTGGTAGTTCCAACTACGACGGCTCCGGTGCCGGCAATCGTCACAACGTCGCCGGTGATTTCCAGGCTCTGGGCACGCTCGAGAGTATTGCAGTTGCTTCCGGGATTGGAAATTTGAGTCTCCAGTTTGGAAAGGTCACCCAGACTGGCGGTGCGCCGATTACTGTCATCAATCATCTCTTCGCTGCTCGATGGACTCGGTGAACTCTGGTGCACGGTGATATCACTGGAGTCCAGCTCGATTTTGTTGCTACCTATCGGGGTTTGTTCGGTGTCTGAGTCTGTCAACGAAGAAGAATGAACTTAACACTATATGGCAAAAAAGGAGATATGAAGAAACTTACCATGTTCTTCATGCGTCATGCTCTCCGTCATCGAGGACTTCTTCCGCTCGCTCTTCGGTGTTGAGCTATTGCTCGGTCCCTTTTCCTCGAATTTTTCCACTCCGGAGACGCTTTCAAACGTACAGTTGAGTACTTCCTCGGCGAAGTTATCCGAGAAGTTCATACGATCGCTCAGGTTGAATTTCCTCACTTCAGTTTCCATGTGTACAGCCGCATCGGTTGTATCCATGCTCAGTGTGGTATCCATGGTGGCTGTACTTTCGTCCATTTCGGTTTCGTTTTGTGGTGGCCTAGGAGCTTTACCTTTGCGTTTGTTTTCGGCGTCGATGACGCTGGTAGATTTCCGGTTGTCCTTGGCAGCATTGGCGGCCTGCATCATGAATCCAGGCATCTCCTGCGGGATTCCGTCAGCGTCTCGTTTGATTCCACTGGATGTTAGACTATTCTGTCGCTGAAACTCGCTGGGCATGGTAGTGGTTATGTTGGTCGTCGCGGATTCAATTACAATCACATCGGGAACGATCTTCGGTTCCTTGGTGCGTTTCTTCACAACCGGAGGTGATGGCGATTTTTCCTTCTGCTCATCGGATACCTTCTTCTCGATATTGGTGTTATTTTCATTGTCGGCTTGGACCTTGTTTGGGCTTTTTCCGAAGAGTTTATCGTTCACAGATGGTGGGAAGACGCGAATGCCGAATTTGTGTCCCTTCTTGCCTTCGGCGGCGTTGGAGTCCTTACGTTCGACATCGGCATGTTTGGTTTGAAACTTTTCCTCGATCATCTCCTTCATCTGTTGCTTGAACGAGTGCTTCTTGGGTTCCTTCTCGTTTTCCTTGTGCACGGTCGGTAGCACCTTGTTCAGCGTGGTTGGACTTTGCTGTTCCATCTTGAGCGTGGAGTTGCCATCCTTGCGGGAGTTGCGTTCAATCTGAAAGAGTAATCGTTTGAAATATCTGCATATATTGTTCAGGTAATTAAAATTATCCCACCGTATTCATGTCTGACTGACTGCTGGACCGCACCAGTGGATGGGTGAGGGCCTGATGTCCCGGTTTAGGGCTTTGCGTCGGAGGGATCTTTTCGCCGCTTACACACTCCAGCTGCACGTTGTACGGAGAAGCGTAGCTTAGGATGGTCATCGCGTCCTCTTGGACGATGTGACGAAAGTCGATTGTGATGCTGGTGATTCTGTCACCTGTGGAGGGGAAATTGATTTCATTACAAATAGCTTAAATAGTAAACTGAGAAATGTTTTGTTAAGAATTCCCATTCATTACCAGCTCTCCTGCTTTGAAGCTGCCTTCAGCAAAGTTTTTCACAGTACAGATGCAAATTTGTGGTAATAGCTTAATTTTATATAGGTATTTCAACAATTACTTCAAAACAATAATATTTAAAAAGCTTGTAGTAGAGTAGAAGTAATATTCAAATATTCTCAATCAATTAAAGCGTTTTTATCTTGAATGTTAACAAGCTAGAATATGTAATGGTTTCGGAAAGGCTGGTGTAGTTTTTTGTAATGCTACACTCAAATGCTTTTAGCCAGTTAAATATTTGGCTCAACTTGTTCCAAATAATCATGTAAATTAAATTGGAGGAGTTAACATAAATGTAAATGGGTCTTAAACTGCATTGTGTATATTGACTCAAAGTTTGCATCAATGTGTCTAATCGGATTCTTCTGATAAACTAGATTGTAGCACATTTCAATAACCTCCACGCTAGTATTACTAAGTTTAATCACAAATTAGCCTACACCCTATAATCCATTATAATAATTCGAGAAAAACGCATTCGCCCTCTCGGAGCGCTGTCATTCATCGCATTTTTTCCACCACATCAGCATGATCGATTATTCTAAGGAATGTAGGCCATCGTGGTAACCAAGTTATGCCTTTTTTTCTCGCTCCCTCTACACTACAAGCATAAGAGCACCTTTCGAAGTTCCACGCCGGCGAAGTGAACCTGTGTGATTACCGTGCGCAACTTTTCCGCACATAAATCTCCTGACAAGTCGCGTATATGTTGCTTACTTTTCAATGCCAAGCCACATAATAGTCCGCGATCGACCACATTCATTGCAGAAGGGAAGGGGATCTGCACACGCTGCACGACGGACGACGCCAATACAAAAGATACTGTTAGATTGGAACACGTGCATCGACCGCTCGCGCGCCCCTAGTATCGATTCTTTGACCGGTCCTGGAGTTTTTTGCCCCCATGCATCACCTCGACCGCCAGCAATTGGACCTGATGCAGCGCCAACCCAAACCAGCAAAAACTGAAACCTGACACGGGCAATAATAACTGCAATCAGCATAGATCTGGAAATTGACTGTCCGCAGCAATTGAGCAGCAGCAGCATAGCTGGCGACCATACTCGCAGCATAATAATGCATGAGTCGATCATCTTGTGCAGTTTTATAGGCATATGATCCAATCACAATTCGAGGAGAGGAAAAAAATATAGTAGTTGCAGCGACTGCATGGTCGTACTTTTACTTTCTAGAGTTATTAAAAATTTCGTTTCTAAGCTGTAGGGGAAATTGAGTGCCTACATTAATTATCGCAGAAAAAAAAATCAACATCTATGAAGAGGTACCTATGTTGGAGTATTTACTTAGATCCAAAATTCACAATTCAAACATATTCATACTTCGCTTATGTTTGGTTCACCCGCTTCATCACGGCTGTACCACAGACAAACAGACATAATTCACATTATGCAACAACACATTCTTACAAAATTTCGTCAACCGTATTTTGCATGTACACTAGCACCCTCTATCATGCACATTCCCAAGCATTGCTTTGCAACCGGAGTATCCCTCGTTCATGCAATGTTTTACTAGTTACTTTTCCCTCGATCTGTCAACACCTCAGCTGTGTTGAATAAAAACAAAACAGATGCAGGTCACTGATGTCGGTTTGATTGAAATTTGCAGAAATACGGATCGTAGAAAATATTCACCGAAGCTTAGGGATTTGTTTTGTTTGTTAAGTGGGGTTTTAATTTGCTGGAAACAAGTTTTCAAACGTGGTAATGCATCACTAATGAGTGCCATTTCTACCACCGCTCATAACTTTAATGTGAACACATCAAACAAATAAAATATGTATCAATCAATGATATTCATGATGATTTATTGATCATCAATAACTGGTAAACGTTGATAAAATATTACAGATATCATAACTACTTGTTTTCAAATTCTGTGGACATCGTGCAGCGTAATATTACACTAGTGGAATGACCAATGTGCAGCAGTTTGGATGTACAACTTTTTTTCTGTATTCGACAGATGTGGTGTGTCTTCAGTGGGATGCCTTAGCCACTAATCATTTTCAAGAGCTAACATCTACTAAATTTACCCAAAAAATAACTGTCATTACTGATAAGTTTGAAATGTGGTAGCTTGCTTAACGCTGACAACCATGACAAATGCGAGCACATTCCCAACTAAAACCTTATTTGCGATGAATGTGATTGTGAGTGTTATGTCTGTTTGTCTTTGGCTTTACTATGACCATCCATTGATAATGAATGTCCAGGGAGGCTCCCTCAGCCTAGTTTTAGACAGACGATTATCGATTGTAGAAAATGCGTTGGCTACTGTGACCGCTAACAACATTATTAAGGACCCCATTATTGGCCACAACCGGACATGTTCCGGATGCCACCGGGGAAGTTGTCAGTTTCACGAGGCGCATCAAATTACCTCATGATTTGAAAACTAGATCAAGGACAGCCAAACCGAGTGCTTAGGACCACATTGGTCCTGTTGCTAATTTACGCCGGGGAAAGTGCTGATAATGTGTTCGCCGCTAGTTTTGGGTGGCCGACGTTGCCGTGAATCAGCGAGTTTACGGCTTGCAAAAGAGCTCGTCTGCTGGTCTCTCACCAGTGTCGGAGATTGTGAGCAAGCTGAAGGATGCCTCGCTGGATACGCCCAAGACTTGACGGACGATAGCTGGTGGCCGTGAACGGTTCCTTGGGAAATCACTAGACGCTAACCTCCTCCCAGATGACCATGGCAATGCAGGAAGTATTACAACAAAGGTAATTGCTATTAAATATTTTTGCAAACAGTGACAGATTGCAGACATGAAGCTCAAGTGGAGGTGCCCTGCAAAGGTGTTATATCCTAGACAAATGGTGAGTTACAAATTCGCTGTTGTCGTCGTCGTAGGCGCCATTATATTCGCCGTCGTAGTCGCTGTCATAATCGCCGTCGTAGTCACCGTAGGCAGTACCGTTAGTATATTTAAAATTAACCATCAACCGCTGAAACTATATGAATTATCACGTATTTCTGTTGTTCAGTTCATGTTGTGAAATTCGAGAACGTAATTTCATTTGAATAGCTTGTTTAACCAGGGCTTAAACAATCGTCACGTCGGTCATAGCTTGTTATAATTGCCTGAACAATGCGTAAAGAGCAAATCAAAACATTGAACGTCGTGTGAAAGTGGAACTTAATGAAGGCGTAAGCTTTTAGTTTTCGGATTTGAAAGATCGTCGGTTGCAGTGGCTTGCTTACTGAGCGGAAAAACGCGGTTCCAGGCGAGGGAGACGACTCTATCTACGCTGCAGGAAAGATTGTGTTGTGCTTTGGCTAGCTGATTGCACGCTGAGTAGATAGAAAGAAGATTGATGACGATTCTGAAGATTTCCTGCAAAAAGGTGATGCGCGATGCAAGTAGATGCGAGAAATAAGGAAGCTTTTTCGAAGATTGATTCGCTAGTGTGAGATTTTTTGAGCATTTAAAATTGAGATTTAGAAGTGTGAAATGTAGGATAAGATCGTTTGTTTATCGTGTATTTTGTATAACTTTTCGTTGTTGTCGGTGCCGGGTTTGAATAGTTATAACAACTTGAGTGACGGTATAATGTGATCTGAGGAGCTTGGTGGCCTTAAAGCAACCGTTTTCGCTTACTGAGCAGAACATCATGAGTCTAATCTCAAGCCCATCCACATTCAAGATTCGTCAACCGTTTTAATTGTTAATATGACTACATGGTAATAACAGCAACTTGATGATTAAAAAGGAGCTCGTCTGCCTAGTGGCAAACGGTTTTGCTTACTGAGCAGAAGACCGTGGGTTTAATCCCAAGCTGCTTCGCGTTATATGATCGTTAGGACATTAATTCAGCTTATCGTTTACCAAAACGAACCCTGCTGCAAACCCAACCTTATTATCCAATATCCTAGTGATTCCTCATGGAAGTGCAGAGGTGTTCTCGGCTTCCATCAAAGCGAGTGTCACGTGAACACATTCCTACCCCTTCCTTTCTTGACCTGTGTTCAGGCCCGGCCGGCGCAGGTATTGCCTAGTTTTAGATCACCAGTTTTTACACATTGAGGATGATTGCTAGTCCCAAGCATCGTCGATTGGTTCTCAGTGTAATACAGCTGGTCTGGCAATAACAGAGTAGCAACCGTGGGCGGTCAATCATGCTCATGCTAATGCTCATTAAATACAAGTTAAAAATACTTTCCCTACTGCCCTTTACCCTAATAAAACTACATTCAATTGGTTTACTTCCACTATATACAATACATTTGTGATTGCCGTGTGATCTAATGTAAAGTCATTTTGATTGCATCTGGTCGGCAACTAAACATTTAAATTATTAGGAGTAGGGTACTTCGTCGTAATGGTCCATTTCCGTTCTATCGATCAGAAAAGATCACTTATATCAATGATTTCACCGAGCACAAATCAATTATAGGTTTGTTCCGATGCGTTAGTTCATTAGCTACAACATAAATCCTGTTAGAGCGCATTGTATGAATATTTACGCTCATTGTTCTCAAAACAAAAGAAGCGCTCCCTGCAAATCCCCTTTTTCTACGTTTATTCGTAGGACGAAGAAAATCTAATGGCGTTTCAATGCGTTAGGATGGAATTGAAACTCGTAGGACGAATGTAGAATCAAGAAGCAGTATTAGATTTTGAACAATATCTCAACAATTTGTGACTCTTTATCAAATCCAACGGTACGTATGGAAAGGTGAATAAATTTGAAAGTCATCTTTGGCAGAAATATTCAAGTTTTTCCGTTCAAAAAAGAGAGATAAAGCGCGGGTTGTGATTAGATCGAAAACCCTATGAACGTAAATGAAAGTTGGATACTACTCTAGTAGTAGAGCAAGTATGACATTTCGAAAGAGCGAAAGTACGAGAAAGCAGGATCATGTGGACATGCATTTACACAAGCAATCTTTTGCCTCGCTACTGGAGGTGCTGTGTCAAAGTACATATTATATTACTAATGTGATCTCTACTATAGCCCATTTGGGTAGTGCTAGTGGATCCAGATCAAAGTTGCGTATGGAAAGTCGATTTTTAGCTTAAAGTTTGTGACTCTTTTAGAGCTTTTGACTTATTACCGAAAATACCCGTTTCATTGAGTCATGTAAAAGCGGTATTTCGGTAATGGATTTAGGACCGGTATTACCGGTTTTCGGTAATGAATTTCCTGAAAGGCAAGGTTGGAGTCTTTAAGAACCCAAACATCCCGATACTTTAAAAACTAGACTGCATTTAAATACATTCAGTGTCCCTCGTCGGAACGAAGAAGACTTAAACGCTGTCCAGACTGGAGAGTTATAACATGTTATAACGGTTGTCAAATAATTGCAACACAGAAACCACCATCAAGATAGCGCTATAACATATTATAACTCTGTAGTCTGAACGTACTATTACACGCATTCGGCCTCGTTTCGTGTGACCTTCGCCGGGTCAGTACTACCGAATTGCGTCGCGATTTTTGTCGTGGCACTGCAAAATGTTTATATGTTTATATTATACTACTCTCGCTGATTGTGAGCAAGGCAGGGAGCAAAATTTGAGCGGTCTTTGAAAGCTCGCTCTCGGCGTTCTTTTGTGGAAGTCCTGAGAACTGTCGCTCCATCCTCCAGAATTATGCCGGGTAGCAACCCCTTTGACCTTCTCCTAGATGATGATCAGGGTTCTGACCCTGGGTTGGCGAGGGAAGTCATTTCCTGTTCAAAGGCCCATCTAGGAAGCGATCCAGGAGCGTCGCTCCACAGCCTCGGAAACTCTCTCGTATTGACCTTCGAGTTGTTTTGAAGAAATCAGGAATAATCATTTGATTTTGAAAAGGACTTTCCACGTCTTTCAGGTTCTTTCAAGGCTCCAGATGTTCGAACTTCTCAGAGTTTTGTGGAATTGTGGACAGCATTCTAGAAATATTGAATGTATCTGCATCCATGATAAACATCATTAGTTTGATGGTTCTGACGTTGAAAACTCTTTTGAAGCAAACAGTATTTAAGTGGCCATTGCTTTCGATTTTTCAATCCAATACCTTGTTCAGACTACAGAGTTATAACATGCTATAGCGCTATCTTGATGGTGGTTTCTTTGTTGCAATTTTTTGACAACCCTTAAAACATGTTATAACTCTGTAGTCTGCACGTACTATAAGTATCTATCGTTGCAGTTTTGCCATCAGCCATCAGACCTCACAAGAGAGATCCAGAGCACTTTCCCGTCACTGCAGTGAATCACCCACGGACAATCGCGTTACGAGGCATGGTTGGTCCTAGAAAGAAAACTCTATTTGAATCGAAACCTTCAATAGTTTATGATCTATTGAAGATAGAAACTTATTATCGAAGACAAAATGTCGTTTCTTTCAAGGGGTGCACATCAAAAAAATAATTTTGATATCACATCAAAGTGGAAGCACTTCATTAGTGTCGAAAACATGGTGTAATATAACTTGCCAAAAAGGGCAAAATTATCATTAATACAGTGCATGAACTGACATTACGCTGCTTTTACTGCGTTTGTTTATTTTTGTGGCCATAAAAATTACATAAGATTTTCGACATGATTGAAGTGCATCCTCTTGGATGTAATATTAAAATTTAGTTTTTGCTGTGTGGCCACTCTACACACTCATTCTGCGCCAACTTTTTTCTCAGTGTGCCGCAGCTGTGCCAGCAGTACCGAGAGTGTCAGTCATCGGACTGACATTGTTTCATTGTGAATAATGGTATGTTTGGCAACCCAGTTTAATTGACAGTTCAAATGTTTTGTTATGAAGCAACAACACAACTAGCAGAGTAGGGGAATCCGAATCAAGAGACCATCATGAATTCCATCACCAAGCATCACGTAAATTTTACGTGTTAATCCAGTGACGATGATGCTTATTGAAATGAGTTCTTCCATATGATGATCACCTACACACTTAATTCAGATCACCGAAGTCGGTAGGAATTTACCGGGTTTTTGAACAGCAGAACAAGTCGGTAAAATTTTCAAATTACCGTTACACGTGAGAAATCAAGAAAATTTAAAATTTTTATTTTTCACCAATTAATGGGGTAAACCGAACAAATTCTGTACATGTTCAGAATAAATTTTCAAATAATTGGATTTTTCACTGATTTTTAAACTTTTACCGAACAGTTCTGTAGTTCAAAATTTACCGAACGATGGAGGCCTGGATTAGTGTGTACACACTTAGAAAAAATCACCGACTTCGGTAATTCATTTACCGAATTCTCAACAGCTGAACGGTCGGTAATGTTTTCGGTAATCGAGAACATTACCGAAACATCTGTAAACAGGATCAGCAAAACTAGCTGTCAAATTTACCGAACGATCGGTAACGTTTACCGATGTGCATTCCTTGATTTGTAGTCGACTTTACCGGAGAACTGTAATTTGAGGACGATATGCAAATCGAAAATTACCGAGTGATCTGTAATTTTTTAAAAAGGTCGCCGACTCAACTGTAATTTGCTTTAATATTGTTTCAAGGTGGCGGTCACTGCAACCTATGCAAAAATTTGGCTGCCGTCGTGATCAATAAGTTAGTGTTGCAAATTGCACCACCAATGAACAAAACCGTTGGCGACGATCTGAAAACTTAAGTTTTTGTCGGAAAGATTCGGCGCTACATTGAAAACAAGCAAGCATTGGAAGATCGTCGCCAACGGGAATGGAACTTGGACCGACAGAAAAAAAACAAGCAACAACATCGGCCATCTGTAATCGGTATTTATTTAGAAAACGAAAATTAATTATTTACGGAAAATATCTACGATTCGCTCATCTTGGTGTTGCATAACAGTCTCCATAATTTCACCTTTTTATTTTTCCAATATGGTGGATTTGACGTTTACCTAGGCCGTTACCGAACTCAGTAACGGAACGCTTTGTTTATCGAAACTTCAGTAAAATATTTCACCGAAGTCAGTGATGAAGCTAATTTACAGACCCGCCGCTAAAATTTTTATCGTTTTCGGTAAATTAAAATAAAATTACCGAAATTCGGTCATTTCATTTACAGTTTTCAGCAATAAAGCGAGAAAATACCGAAACATCTGTAATTTTGAGCATTACCGATCTAAGACGATATTTTTTTTTACCGTACTCAGGGTCTCTGTTTAAGTGTGTAGTCCTTACGTGAAAATGGGTGTCCAGCCATTTGGCCGAATGGGTTGTTTGGCCGAATACTTGAAATGGGATTTCCAATTTTTTAACACTACTAGATTCCTAAATGGCAGTATTGTGACCTTTTCTTTTGCTTTCCACAATTTTGGTTTTTTGAAATTATAACTATGGGATTTTTTGTTAAATTGCATATTGTATAAAACTAAAATTTAATATTGTCGATGGATTAATTATTCTTTTAAAGATAAGCTGTTAGTTATGTAATTGGTATTTTTAGCCACCCTTTTTAACATGAGCATTTCTTTGGAATTATGTTGTTCTAATTATTTTTTGCACAGTAAACGCAGCATGTCATAAAATTAAGACAAATCAGAATTTTAAAAGAATATGAGATTTTTCCTTTTTTCAAACATGGGCAGTTCTTTGGAGTTTTGTTGTTAGGCATTCAGCGAAACGACCCATTCAGCCAAACGGCATTCGGTCAAATGATACACATACATTGCATTGACGTGTCGATTATTTTGAGTGCCCTATAAAGCGTTGGGGAGTAGAACTTGTAGCTTCCTTTCCCTTGCAGAGTCTGTTAGACCGTTATAGGTGTTCCCCAAACCTCCAATTATTATTGTAAATTGTTTTAATTTAGCATGTTAGACATTACGTAATCACGAAGATCAACAGACGAGACAAATTTTGCCTTTTTCCACCTTAATCAATAATGTAATGCGCACCTCGGGCAGACGAACACTTTCTACTCTTTACTAGCAGCGGCTGGCGCGCTTCTAATCGCAAAGCAAATATTTATTCAAATTTTACGACTTTCAACAACTATTTGTGGCATCATTTTATTTGGGATAAACGCCAACAACACGGTGTATGCATACAGAGACGAAAGCATCCGCGACGCAGTAACAAACAACACCCAGCTTATTATGGGACCCACGACAATGAATGGTGTCGCGTTTGAACCGGTACCGCCATATAGCATAACCCATTGGTCCGGATTATTATGAGCAGCGATTTCCGACGACACTTAAATGCCTCGGCGGCTGAAAGTTGTGCAATTTGGACACATTAGACGCTCCATTAGGTTGATGCAGGCTCTAATATCTGCGGTGAAATTACACGAATCGACGACGAGCGTCGATCGCTCATTATAAGGTCCGCAAATTGGGGACCGCCCGCGATTTTATTTGTGATTTTCTAAATTCCCAAGATCGTGATTTAGGCGACATAAATTAGATTTTAATTGGCAGTCGCTGATCTGCAGGGAGTTCACACTCGACAGCATAGCCGAAAAATTGCACATATATGGAACTTACCTGTATTTACGGATCCAGCCGCTGGGCCCTGGGGCATGACTTTCTTCACGAAAATGCCCTCCTTGAGACCACCGTACACCTCCACCCCCAATCCGGTAAAGTCGGAGCCGCGCAGCGAGACCAACCGAGGAGTGGCCGCCTGTTTTCGGGAGATCGGAAAAGAAAGAAGAAAACATACATGAGTGGGTGAGATCATGAAATGATTAATTAAGTTAATGATTGGCGACGAGCAGTTTTTTTTTTGTTATGTAAATATTTGAACACGTCTCTTCTCTTTCTTTAAATCATTCGGAGAATTCGGATCGGCTCAAGTGCGGATGTTTCGATCAAATTTCGCTTTCAGCTTCGATCTCTTGTGGTGATCTTGGTGGTGATGATTGTTCGGGAATGAAAGTGTCGGCAAAATTTGAAGAGATGGCGGAAGAGTGAACAAGTTCGGAGTATGTATGTTTGCCTTGGTTGCACCAGACACAAGCAAAAAATATCAATTAAAACAGGTGCGATTTTTGGCTAGTTTGATGGCTTAATGGTCGGTGTGATTTTGGGGCAGGAAATTAAGCTTATGGGAAAAATTAAGGCCGATAATTGTTGACTCCGAATCCGGATGAATGGTTTAAATTTTAATTTTGGATGCATTGCACAATTCTGCAACCAACGTAACTGGTTGCGTAAGCTTTTTTTTTAATTCTATGCCATGTTCCGTATTGTTAGATAATTTTTAGACAGCTTTTTTTTAAACATCTCGAATATGGATAGGCGATGGGTCAACGATTTTTTTTACACAGAGAAAATGGCTTTAATGTTGGCCTATGGATCTAAGATTGGGCCCATCGCTAAAAATCTGCTATTTATCAATTTTATCTAGAAGTACTAATGGATATTTTTGGTCGCTGTTGACAATTTAGTCGATTACTGAATTTATGTATGGGTCCAAAATAGGGGCATTTATGCCGACATTACATCCATTTCCCCTATAACAATATTATTTTAAAATAAGTATTACTGAAACACCTACAAAACGAAATCCTAGGTGCCTCTCTTTCATTTGATGCTTGTTTCAAAATGTGACTTTTACATTAATTTTTGGATGTGAGCTAAACAATACGAAAAACATAACCCCCGGTAGAACATTTAGATACTATCCTCATATGAAAGGGGCGAGATTAAGCTTTCGTTTCGTGGGTATTTCAGCGATACTGTTATTAAATAAGTGTATCTGAAAAAAATATCGACATTTTGTCATCCCTACAGTTTAAAAATACATAGTCATATTGAGTGGTCTACTTTTATCGATGTCGATAACTATTTATCAACAACGATAATTAATTCGAATCTCGAAATGAAATTTTGTTATGTATATGAAATCGGTCAACTCATCTGAACTCTGAACATAAATCTGGATCTAGCGGTCGACGATGATGATGCTGATGATGAAGTGAATGAGGTAACATTACTTTTCCCAATGATTCCCCACACAAAAATTCACCAATGAAGACCATCGGTAAATTCCAATCCTTTATTAATTTCCAATCACCAATCACGGGGCTTACGACCAATTCCGGCAGCCAATTAACATCATCAAAAAATTAAGCTTTTGAACGAGCTCGAACTCTTGCACACTAACACATTTCACACACACGCATATACACACATACTCACATTGATGCAACTGTCGTCCACGGTTTTCCGCTTGTCGAGGCTGTTCTGCTTGGCCGCCGCCGTCGTCGACGATGTCCAGCTGGGATCCAGCGGGGAGTTTGTTTTGTTCGTGGTGGTTCCACCGGCTCCATCGCCAGTCTTGAAGGCCGGATTATCGAACGCGTACTCGTCCTTCTTGCTCTCGGGGTCTTCTGAGACCAGTTGTGATTCTGTTGAAGGAAAAAGACAAGACAAAACATGTTCATGTTAATGAAATCAATTAATAATAATTTGCTTAAACTATACTACGGTGTACCCACCGCGCTGGGATGATGGGAATGGCATCCGAAGAGGGTAAGGCATAAAATTAATAAAATCCGTTGTGATCCCTTTGCTCAACAAGCTACAAGCATCAACTCATCCTATGCAAGTGCTTTTATTTCTCAAAACGAGCCGGGAAATGAATGTTCAATTTTTTAACTGCCCAACAATCGTTATTACTTTTTCGAGTGTATGTGAATGGCTCGCGCATTCGAACGGTTGGTATAATTTATGTGGAAAGGTCGGCATAAACGCCTCATTACGGGCAATTATCGAATCGATCGATTAGCGATGCGATATTGTACCCTCTCGCGGGGTCGGCACATGGGAGATGGGACGCTGGATGCATTGGATGGGATTTTTTTTTAAAGGTAGGTTGTATCTTAAAGTGGCAACAGCATTGATGATGTGGAGGAGAAAATTGATCGTAGCATTGAAGGCCAATCGTGAAGCTGGGTCATAATTTCTAATGAGCTGATCAAAGAAGTTATGCGAGAGATGACAGCTATTTAGTTAAAATATAGCTACTTATGGTAAACGTTGCAAAAATTGGCAAGATGGGAGACCGTTCGATGGGTTGAGGTTAGGTTATGTATATTTGGAAAATGGCAGAGTTGAGTAGAGAAGAGTTTTGAACTAAAACACCAAAGCAAAGCACAATAAACATATGATGGAACGTCACAACGCCTTTCAGTCGCGAGAGTTGCAACTTCATTCTTATCAGCCAAGCTCATACAAGAGAATGTTTGTGGTCTAGTGAGATCGATCGAGAACAACGGCAGCAACTACAGGATAAAACCCCAAATAAGAAACAGAGAATTAGTCAAGAAGAAAAATAGTAAAATAGCTGTTAAAAACCTGATTCATCCACCTTCCGGTAACAAGTGCCTATCTCGTATGGAATTATAAAATTTGCTTCATGTCATACCTTGCCTGATAATAAACTTTCTTACAAATTTATCGGCAAAAACGAATTTGAACTTGCTAGGGACATCACCTTGATCAGTGGCTTTATAGAACTTTTGTCCGGGAAGCTGCCCATAATCCATCTTTATGTACGTTTCGTCTTCCATGAAAAGAACCTCATTGTAAAACTTCCGGGCACGTCTTTTGGCCACTAGATTCTTCATATATCATATATCATTTCAAATATCAGACTAAAGTGGTAATTTTTATACAATAGATGAAAGCATAGAATTGATAGTTCCGTTAGAGTACGGCAGTGTGAAAATTGCATATAGAGAGTAGAAAGCGAGCAAGGACAATTTTAGGAAGGTACAAATCGGTTTGATCATCTCTCTTTACCAAACTCCCCCGAGAGGGATGGTGAGGGATATTCCAGTGGTGGCGTATAAAAATTATCACTTAAGTCTGTTATTTGAAATTGGCATCTTCAACTATGTAAATCGTTGACTTCACGCAGAAGTAATACTAAACATATAGTCAAAGCACTAGATTCTGCTTCAGTGTCCTGTTTGGTTACTTACTGGCCCAAAAAGATCGAAATCATTCCCGCTGACGAATCCTTCTGACGTTGCATTGGCTGGCAAATTCTTGGCGATATCATAATCCGACTGTCCTGGGTTTGCCCTAATCGTTCTCAACATCTGTAAATGCAGCTTTTGATCCTTAGTTCCACTACGACGCTTGCTATGATCGATCGATAGTATGCCGTTTAGCATTGGGCGATCTTGAGGCAAGAATCCATCTTGAGGCAAGAATCGATTTTGAGGCAAGAATCGATCTTAGTGAATCGATTCATTTTTTTTGAAAATAATCGATTCACCGATTTAATACATCATTTTGAATCGATCTTTTGAATGGATCATAGAAAAGTTGGTGCAGATTTATGCCAAGTTGATATCACGTTACATAGCCTATCTTTTTATGACATTTCACTTATAATAGTCATTTTGTGTGATAATCGATATCATTTGGAAATAAATGGTCTAGAAGGTACTCAGTAAAAGTTGTGAGTGTAACATACATACATGATGAGAACATAGTAAAAGACTATTTCGATTTCATTTGTCATGTGGAAGTTTTTGCTCAGGATACTTGATTAGGTGAGTGAATTAACAGGTTAGAATTTTCGTTTTATTGGTATTAAATGTTAAATCGTTCATCAAACGAAAGATTAACATATGAAATAAAACGGGTGTAGTGTAAAAGTAGAAAAATACGGTTAGTACGGAAAGTATTTAATTCAGTTATCCCAAAACTCATGCGAGAGGGATCCCACACGCAAACCAAAAATTTATTACAATGAATGTTAGTTCCATTTCCTATCATCCTCTGTTCATGAACATCGCAGCGAATGTTAGAAGTTGACCTTGCAGGCGATGTAATGGTTTTTTGCCCTTTTTATTTCGTGTTCTGTCTGTGCTCTCATCTACACAAGCAAGCATTTGCCTTGATTTTTATGTATAACATGGCAGAACGACGCACACACTTGCCTCGAATCTCTCCAGCAGAAAAAAAAACATACGAAGTCAAGTGTGAGAGGAAATGAGCGCTTCTTGTTTGCTTTTAGGCTATCCATATTCAGAAGCATGGAGAGAGCAGTGGAGAAAGCACAGGTCTGATAATCACAACGTTCGTCGTTCGAGTCCCAGTCGGCAACCTTTTTCCAATTTTTTTCGACGTAATTCATTTCACTCACTACCACTCCACATTTTTCGGTCTCCAATTCTCTTGCATTGGACCGCAGCTAGGTATATTGCATCCTCGGTTCATGCGGTCTCCACTTACATCCTCTGATGATGAATCCCACATAATAGTAAGCGAATCTTACATCCACCGGTTGGGTGCAAGAAAGCTTATAAGCCTTTTTAATGCACCACGTAGAGGGCACCACGCCAGTTCGAGAGGAAACGTCAACCAAACCGTTTGTTTACATCAGAAGAAGGATTTTTCTCAACGCAAATTAAAGCATTTTTCATTGAACATCTTGCCGATTTACATCAGTAATTGTCTTATTTTACGATTTTTCACACATCTGAACTGATTTGCACCTAAACTATTCACACACAAGAAATCTGGAAGATCATAACCACTAAGGCACTGAGGGATACGCTCCAGTATTGGCCATGTTCCTATTTTGGCCACCATTTGACGATATTTTACGTCGTTTACAATTTTGAGATGTTCAGTTGCGTTCAGTCTGTTGGTACAAATCATATTCATCGGTGTACATAAACATTTCGACCACAAAATGCACGTATATTGTAATTTAATCGGTTTTCTGAGGTGTGGCCAAAATAGGAACCAATGGCCAATACTGGCGCACTGCCACCAATTGGAATTTTGCATTTTTCTCATCAAAAATATTCCTGAATACTAAACATTTTCAACTATAGATCAAGTTTTCGAGCATCTCAGATGAATCAATTTATCAGGAAAAGTGAAAAAGTGTTCCGCTTCCAATGTCCCACGGCAAAAATTTCTGCTCGCAACACTCTTTTTGGCGTTCTCAAATTCACGTCCAGATGTTTAATCGATCGCTTAGTTTCTATTAAAAAGGCGTATTGAGTCATGCGTTTTGCATTGAGCCGATATCGATTATGTGTGGTTTCACCAGTTTTAGAGAAAAGGATCGACAGAACGTGGGAAAACAGGCTGGTGCAAGAAATTTTGTATTTCTGCCGATGTGCCCCCATGGCGATCCAGTTCTGAAATAGCAGAGGATTGATGAACCGCGCTCGAACACAGGTCAAGAAAGGAAGGGGTACGAATGTGTTGACGTGACACTCGCTTTTATGGAAGCCGAGGAGTCCTCTGTACTTCCACGAATAATCACTGGGATATTGGGTAATAGTGTTGGGTTTGCAGCAGGGTTCGTTTGGTAAACGATAAGCTGAATTGATGTCCTAACGATCATATAACGCGAAGGAGCTTGGGATTGAACCCACGGTCTTCTGCTCAGTAAGCAAAACCGTTTGCCACTAGGCAGACGAGCCCCCTTTTAATCATGAGTTGTTGTTATAACCATGTAGTCATGTTAACAAATAAAACGATTGCCGAATCTTGAATGTGAATGGGCTTGAGGTTAGACTCATGATGTTCTGCTCAGTAAGCAAAAACGGTTGCTCTAAGGCCACCGAGCTCCTCATATCACATTATACCGTTACTCAAGTTGTTATAACTATTCAAACCCGGCACCGAGGACAACGGAAAGTTTTACAAAATACACGATAAACAAGCGATCTTACTATACATTTTTCAGTAAGCAAGCCACTGCAACCGACGATCTTTCCAATCTGAAAACTAAATGCTACGAAAGAGTACTTAGGCCTTCATTAAGTTTCACTTTCACGCGACGTTCAATGTTTTTATTTGCTCTTTACGCATCGTTCAGGCAACAAGCTATGACCGACGTGACGATTATTTAAGCCCTGGCTAAACAAGCTATTCAAATGAAATTACGTTCTCGAATTTCTTTTGGTATGTAATGAAGAACGGAAATCGCGATAGTTCATATAGTTTCAGCGGTTGATGGTTAATTTTAAATATGCTAACGGTACTGCCTACGGCGACTACGAAGGCGATTACAACAGCGCCTACGACGGCGAATACGGCGGCGCCTACGACAACGACAACAGGGAATTTGTAACTTACCATTTGTCAAGGATATAACACCTTTGTCCGGCACCTCCCTTTGAGTTTCATGCTAAAGTCTAGAGTCTTGAAATTTTTTTGTGAATCTTTGATTCAATCTGATGATATTCAAAAGTTTTCATTCTAGAGTGTCATTAGGGATGCTACATTTTTTGGAGGGGGAAATGGTTTAACAAGATGATAAATCGAATTCTTGTTGCTTCTCTCAGAAAATCACAATTTCAGCTGAATCAATTCTGCTGTCATCAGGTCAACAGATAATTTTACAACAGGAAAAACCACTCAGCGCTTG